TAGGTTCACCACCACTGCCATAGATGGTGAGAGAGATGACTGTTGGCTCTACCTACTGTTCCAGGGGCCTGTGGCAAGAGAACTGAGTGGACTGCCATCTGGACCCTCTGCTGGATCAGGTCCTCCTCCCCCTCCCCCAGGTCCTCCTCCTCCTCCAGTTGCCACCAGTTCAGGCTCTGATGACTCTGCTTCCCGTTCAGCACTGTTTGCGCAGATTAATCAGGGAGAGAGCATTACACATGGTGAGTACTTTGGCATAAGCAGTTGTTACAGCAAGTTGTTTGGACTGGACCTCCTCAGCCAGACACAACAGCTAGCATGTAACCACAACGCTGACTTTCATGCGGCAGGTTTCATTTTGAGCATCAGTTTACTTCAAGTTACCAAAGGGGTAGCTGAGGTAGAAATTGAAAATGGTTAACAATTGGTGGAAGTCCTGTCTTCCATGGAAAAGGGACTTACTAAGTGGTATACATATGTAGAGTACATTCTTACATCAAGCCCCAGTGCTGATCATTTTCCCAAGCGCTGTCTCCATGATCCCACATGGTGTCTCTGGGAAGACCCTGTGGGAGGAAGCAGACCTGCTCGGAGGAGGCACATTAGTCATATAGGAAATTTGCGTAAGAGTGATGTAATGTTAATATAGACAACCTTAATATGGAGGAAATTAAATTGTACAGCCCTCTTCTAGGGATCTACTCATAAATATATCTACAACATGTTTTTTTGTTCTTTTCTCCAGTATCTGGGATTGAACCTGGGCCTCCACACTGAGCTTTGTCACCAGCACTTTTTTTGTTGTTACAGGGAATTGAACTCAAGACCTTGCGCTTGTCAGCCAGGCACTTATGCCACCGAGCTATATTCCAAGCCCTTGTTTTCTGAGACAGGGTCTTCCTAAGTCACTAAAATCCTCAGGCTTGGCTGGAATTTGCAGCCCTCTTCAGCATCACCTCCTCAGCCTCCCAGAGTACTGGGGTTACAGGCATGCATCAGTTGCCCCCACACTCAAAATTTTATGGTGTTGTTATAGTAGCTTAAAAAAGAATGTAATAACCAAAATATTCAACAGTGAAGGAAGTAGCTATTACATATCTTTTTGATAGGATATTGTGCAGCCATTACATTTTTTTTCTATGAAGGACTATGAACATCATCTATTTAAATGGCATCTACCTCAGCAACTAGCTAAGCAGTAGATCCAGCTAAGCTGAGGAAGTTGGATCTCATTGTCTTCTCTAGCAGCTACCAGGCCCTCCATAAATGGTCACATCCCCATCCACCCTATCCCCAGGAAGAAAATAAACTACCACCACAAGCAATCCTGGAGCTGAAAAGTTTATTTAGTATAGTTATAGTGAACACACATTACACACTGGGCCCTGTTCAAGTAACATAAAGGATATTGTGGAATCATCCCTTAAAAGAAAGAAACAAGAAAGATATTTAGAAACTAGGTGAATATGAGAATATTTTTATTAAGTATTAGAGTTTTTCAAGTACCAACACTAATTGAGGTTGGGGAGAGAGCTCACTGTGGGTGAGTTTTTTTAACCAAAAATTTTTTGCTATAATATTTTTCCTCCTCTGTTGCTCTAAAAACTACATAAATATTTTGAGTATATACTCTTTTCTGGTACATACCTTTCTAGATCTTTTTTGTGCATTAGCTTATCCATTCTCTTCCTCCTATCCATACTCCAACACAGACATGTTTTTTATTGTTGTTGTTGTTGGTTTGGTTTGGTTTTTTTGGTACCAGGAATCAACTCAGGACCTTGTGCTTGCCAGGCCGCATTTCTGCCACTGAAATATGTTGCCAGCCCTATTCTTTTATTTTTTAAATAAGTCAGTGGACTGGAGATACATGTTAGTGGCAAAGCACCTGCCTGGCAAGTGCAAGGTCCTGAATTTGATCCCCAGTAAAGATAGAACAAAACAAAACACAATGTATCTAACCTGGGGGAGAAGAGAAATTATAAAAGTAATTCTCCAAAGTGGCTTGCAAGGGAATATTTTAAAGGTTCTTGTTTTTGCTTTGAATTTTCTGCTGCTGATCTGTTTATGATAGTCAGAATTGGTAATTGCCTCAGCCTTGGTACGAAGCACAGGAACAAGGTAGCTGTTGTTCTTACAGCCCTGAAGCATGTATCTGATGATATGAAGACTCACAAGAACCCTGCCCTGAAGGCTCAGAGTGGTCCAGTACGCAGTGGCCCCAAACCATTCTCTGCACCTAAACCCCAAACCAGTTCATCCCCCAGACCAGCCACAAAGAAGGAGCCTGCTCTACTTGAACTGGAGGGCAAGAAGTGGAGAGTGGTGAGTTAAAAGTACCTGGACTGGAGGAAGGAATGGGGACATGGGGTTGAAATGGTTCAGACAAGTAAGTGCAGGCTTCTGGCAAGAAAAACATTGGGGATAACTTACAATCTTGTTGGTTTGTGCTTTGTGATAATAAGCTGTTTCTTTTAACAGGAAAACCAGGAGAATATTTCCAACCTGGTGATTGAGAACACAGAGTTGAAACAGGTGGCTTACATATTCAAGTGTGTCAACACAACATTGCAAATCAAGGGCAAAATTAACTCCATTATAGTAGGTAAGCCTTAGTTGCCATCCTAGGCAGGTTCTGCCCAGAGCCTGAGAGGGCTAGTCTTCTTAAAGAGTCTTAAATATGTTACTCTCCTTTAAAGTCATATTGTTGACCTGTTTCCTTTCTTCTCCTAGATAACTGTAAGAAACTTGGTCTGGTATTCGATGATGTGGTGGGCATTGTGGAGATAATCAATAGTAGAGATGTCAAAGTTCAGGTAACTTGATATCTTGGCTCATTCTTTGGGTCCCTGAGGAATTAATTGAAAGAGACTGGGCAGACCCACAGGTGTTTGATAGGAGTCTGATTCTACGAAGTCGGCAAGCTGATCTGCTTTGGATATGGCAGAAGAAGAGTTGGTTCTTTAAGAGAACTCTTCCCAGCACCATCCCAACCTGCCCATATTCAGTATCTGTTGTGTGCCTGAGAGCTTTTCATGTTGTCTCACATGAATCATGTGAGACAGTGAAAACTTGTACTGCAACTTACTGTCTTCCCCACTAGCTGGAATTCAGTTTTTTTATTTTTTCTCTGCAGGTAATGGGTAAAGTGCCAACCATTTCCATTAATAAAACAGATGGCTGCCACGTTTACCTGAGCAAGAATTCCCTGGATTGTGAGATAGTCAGTGCCAAATCTTCTGAGATGAACGTCCTCATACCTACAGAAGGTGGCGATTTTGTAAGTTTCTTAGTTTTTTGCACTGGAAAAAGCTATTTGGTGTATATTTAATGCTTATTAGGTAAAACCTGACAATGCATGTAGAAAGCAGAAGTACTGTATGGAAAAGCGCTTAGGATAGCAAAAATAAAAATAAAATGAGCACCCCAGCCAGGTCTGGTGATACATGCCTGTAATTGTAGCACTCAGGAGGCTGAGGCAGGATTGTAAGGTTAGCCCAGCATGGACTGCATAAGTTTGAGACCAGCCTAAGTGACCTAGTGGAACCCTGTCTCCAAAAACCAAACAAGAAAAAGGAATGCAAGTCCTAGTACCCTGTGTGGCAGAAACTCTTAAAATCTGTACATGGCCCCAGAGCAGTCTGCTAAGGTCACAGGTCAGATTGGCTTGTTCACCTCATTTGATCCGACCCTGCTTGCTCTCAGGGTTGGGTAGAAATAAGCATTAAAAAAAATGTGTGCTTCAGTGCCCCACCTTACTGTCCAGCTGATTTCAACCTATTATCGCTTCTTTATTTACAGAATGAGTTTCCAGTTCCTGAGCAGTTTAAGACCCTATGGAATGGGCAGAAGTTGGTCACTACAGTGACAGAAATTGCAGGATAAGCAAAGTGCCAGTGGATCCTTTGCCCTCTCCCTTCACACCATGGGATAAATCTATCAAGACGGTTCTTTTTTACATTTCCTCTACCTTTCTGCTCTTAAACTGCTTCTCTGCTCTGAGAAGCCCAGCTACCTGCCTTCACTGAAATATACCTCAGGCTGAGATTGGGGTGGGATCGCAGGTCAGCTCATCTGCAGGAAGGTGCCTCTTCTCCACATCAGTGCAGCCACACCACAGTCTGCCCCTAAGGAACTGCAGACCTGGACTTTGTGCATTCTAGCTTTCAGTATTTGGGGGTTATTTGACCAACAGTCCTTTGGGAAGAGTAAGACAGTCCAAGGAACTAACAGATTAGAATGTGTGTACTCACCTTTTTCTAACAATGAACATGGAGGTAGTAAAAGCTAGTGTGATTCCAATGCGTTGTAACCAAATTAATTTTTCAAGGTTGGCAAGTGAGGCAAGGGTTATACTGGACCAAAGGTTGAAGCCTGGCTGCCTAGCATTCCAAGCTCATATGTTTCCTACAAGCATTTCTGCACTCCATCCTGGGTCTGACTCAACCTTGAGATTGCTGGTACTACCATACTGCAGCAGCAGTGCCCTCATCCAGAGCAGTTCAAGGAGTCCAAGACCCTTTCTCTCTCTGGGATTCCTATGCAATACCTTCCAACAGAAACGATTTTAAAAGAGGAAAAAAAAGAACATGCCATTCCAAGGGTCCAGCATTCTTCCACCTCCCTGCTAGGTGCCTGTCATCTCCTTTTGCCTATCACATTAAACAGTTTAGGGCTTTTGTCCAGGCATCTGACAGAGGAATAAACCATCACTACAGGCTGGTTTTAGGTCTTGATTTATGTAAGAACCTTGCTCAGCATTGCTAATGTTTCAGTTTTCCCTGGTAGGACAGTTATCAAAATATGCAACCTTTTTTGGTGGGAAGAGAGATTGTCCTGTGATTTCTACCCATTTTCTGAGGCCTGTGGAAATAAACCTTTATGTACTTAAAAGTTATACAGAAAATAGAATAAAGTTAATACCAAACTTGTTTTGTTATTTACCTGTTTTTTTATACAACACTGTAAAAATACTGAAAAGAAAAAAATGACAACCAGGATAAGAAACTACTCTTTATTTTAGACATTCTCGTAAAATTATTTTCACACCCCTCCCCATGTTCTTGTCTTTAACTCACATCTTTTAGTTTAAGACTTGAGAGGAAAAGGAACTATCACAAAGGATTAACTCTGCAGTACTTTCATGAAAATGTAGCTTGATCATTTCTCCAAACTCAGAATCTACAGAAGTCATCCAAAATGTGTTGGTGGGTCTTCAAGCGGGACATAAGACTTCATGCTCAAGAAAGGTAGGAAGTGGTAGATTAATGGTTAGTTTCGTTACTAACACTAAGGAATTCTCAGTCCTCAGTCTAATGTGAGTTAAGTCTCAAAGAGGTGAGAGAAAGAAGTAAAGAATAATCATTTAAGTGTTTTTTTTGTTTTGTTTTTTTTTTTAGGTCCTGGGAATTGAGCCCTGGGCCTTATACATCCTAGGAAATTACTGTACCACTGAGCTACATCCCCAAACCTTTGTATCTTGAGATAGTCTTAAATTGCCCCAGCTGAGCTAGCTGGGCACAGTGGCACATAAATGTGATCCCAGCATTTGAGAGGCAGAGGCAGGAGGAACACTGGGAGTTCAATGCCAGCCTGAACTACTGAAACCTAGTCTCAAAAAAAAAAAGTCCCAGCTAGACTCAAAACATAATCATCCTGCCTCAAGCTTCCTGCTTATTCAAAGGTTTTTTTTTTTCCACATAGAACGTAACAGTATCAGTTTGGAGGATGCTGGTCAGTATGGTTTTGGGGACAGAAGTCAGAAAGCCTGGTATCTTTATGTTGTCCCCCTATTTCTGTGCTAAAACCAGCCAGTGATTAGCATCCAGGCTACTAGGCGCAAAGTAAAGGTAGAGTGATAAAGGACGAAGCAGGAAGCACCAGCTGCCTCATTTTCACCAAGTCTGTTTCATCACCACCCGATCCCCAATGTCCTAAATTATGCAAGATGTATGCTATACTTCCGCCCTAAAGCAACCTCAATGAGAACTACTATTCCTTTGGTAATAGAGCAACTAATTCATCACTACCTGAGAAGACAAAATGAGCTCTGGAGAGGTAATGTGAGGCTTGCGGAATGCGACTAGTAATTGCTAAGACACCACAGGAGACAACAGGACTCAAGAAAACAGCCTCAAAAAAATGACATAAAAACACCCCAAACTGGTTGGATTTAGCTCAGTGGCATAGGCACTTGCCTGTCAAGCGCAAGGTTGTGAGTTCAATCCCCGGTACCCAAAAAAAAAAAAAAAAAAAAAAAAAAACCATCCCAAACTATCTTTCCAAGCACTAGTTAAATCTACCAGTAACAATGAGACAGTATGAACGCAGCACCTCACACCTTGGCCCTGGCCTTCTATTTGCCTCAAATGTGGCCAGATGTTTACTCCCACTGCTTTATTTGGTTCAGTCTCCTTTGGGCCTGGACAGTTCAGGCACTAATACATAGCAGACTCCCTTTCCTGAAGCAGCCTGACTACAAGGTTGTAAGACAATCCCCCTAGTTATTAACTAATTAAACTTGAATTCAACACCATATGGTGATAGGAAGCAGCAAAGGGTAAGATTCAGATCTTTCCAAGTAGGGCATGTTAGATGATAACAAAAGAAGGATTAGCAGCAAGCTGATCTGAGCTCAGAATTGGGCAGGAAGAAAACTTTCAAGTGGGTTTGGAGAGTTAGGAACTCCCTGAGCTCTATTAGAAACAGGGCTTCATTCAAGGAAGGGTATGATGTGAGTATAAAACCATTTGTCAGACAGTTGAAGATGGTCCCCTTTTGTAGCCAGAAATACCAGCTTTCCAGCTTTGTCCATTTCCTTTAGGCCCAGGCGGTCCTACAGAAAAAAAGTAAGGTTTAATGAAAGATTTTAGAGTAAAGTAATATAATGGTAGCCTGAGATATAGTCTCAAAATGCAGTTTTGTCCATTAGTATTAAAAGAGGTACACTATTAAAAGCGTCAAAAAAGATACTTCTTCCAGTTTCTAAACATTAAAAATGTATGCTCAGGTGAGATTGTTCTATATAGTCAGTCTTTGTGGTTTTGTACCCTGTGGTGCTGGGGATCAAACTCAGAGCCTTACACATGTTCCTGAGTTATTTTCTTAGCCCCTAAATTCAACTTTGTCCATAGACAGGCAACCCACAGATAAAACTAAAAACATCAGAGTGGGATACACTAAAGTAAGACCAAGCCAAGGTCAGAAGGAAACCAAGAAACATTTTAAGGGAAGGCATTACAAATCCTTAGATAATAACCTGCGACAATTCCATATACTCCAGCTGAAAATGTTACCCACAACTCAGGTAACACAGAACCATCTCTGCTTGGGAAAATGAGCAACCGTGACAAGGCCAAAACTGGTGCTTCTGCTGTGACTACCAATTTGAGCCAGTGACTACCAATAAGTTCTTAGTTGGGCAGGGTGGGGGATGCCTGTAATTCCAGCACTCAGGAGGTTGAGGCAAGAGGACTTCGATGAGTTCAAGGCCAATCTGGGCTATACAGTGAGTTCAAGGCCAGCCTCAGCTACATACTGACCCTGTCTCAAAAAAAAAAGACCAAAAAAAAAAAAAAAAAGTTCTTGGCTGTAATTTCCTAACCTCTTATTGGAAGTTGTTTTTTCTGTAATTTTGTATTATTTCTACCCTTTTTTTCTTTTTTATTGGTACCAGGGATCGAACTCATGACTGCCTGCTTGCAAGGCAGGCGCTTATGCAGCTGAGCTAAATCCCCAGCCCCTTTTCTACCCTTTTTTTTTTATCTCCATGTATTTTTTGTTTCCTTTTCTTTAAATTAAAAAAAAAAAAAAAAAAAAAAAAAAGGAAGCTAGCTTCTCTTTTTACCTCATCTAAGCTGGGGTACCAAATGCAAGAGAAAAATCTGACAGAGGAGAAAATGAATTCTGGAATTGGGTGGAAGAACTAATGGAAAGTGACTGATCCAGTGATAGTCGTGTGCATTTGTGAGACAGTCTCTCCCCAATACTAATTCCTTCCTGTTTGGCAAGCCCATGACAAAGTGCTAAAATATCTTAAACAGGACCTACTGCTGAAGAAAATTCACAACTCTTAATTCCATTCACTTTCCTGTAGAAGAAATTATTCTTCTTGTCAATACCATATTTACTGATCTATTTTTCACTTTGGGGATTAAAACCAGCATGCTAATTACATACTCTATCTCTGAGCTATACCCCTAGCCTGCTGATTTCTGTCTGTCTTTTTTTCTCTTTGTCTCTCTCTTGTCTTTTTGAGACAGGGTCTTGCTATGCATTTGACTGGTCTTGAGCTCACTTTGTAGCCTGCACTGGCCTCAAACTTGTAAGGATCCTCTTGTCTCAGACTAGGGCCCCTCCAGGGGGAGAACCACCAGTGTCTTCTGAGATCCACACCATGTTGGAACTTACGAAGTTGGGAAACCAAGCAACCAGCCTGCCTCCCTGCTAACCAACAGTGAACCTACTGGTGCATGGCCTAGAGTCAAACATCCCACTTTCCCTACCCCTCTTCTCCTGTCCCCCACCCACCGTTAGCAAATGGGAACCAGAAATCTGAGCATCTCCTGGGAGGTTGACCATAGCAAGTAAGAGGGATTTCCTTCTACCATCTCTTTGAAGGCAATTATTTTTATTACTGTTTTGCTCTATTCTGATTAATGGTACTGCTCTATTCAATATTGTTTTGGTAAGTTTTATAATGTTCTGTATTTAATTTTATTTTGATATAGGTGATTGAAAGAACAACTATTGTAAAGATAACGAAATATACTGTGATACCTATTACTGTTATCCCAGTAACCTGCTGTGAAGTTCTGTACCAATTTCACTGTATGATTGTAGTTGGCTTTATTCTGTCTTGTTCTATTGTGTTTTACTACTTTCAAAATAAAATTTAAAAAAAAAGGATCCTCCTGCCTCAACTTCCTGAGTGCTGGACTAAAGGTGTATGCCCCTATGCCTGGCCCAATGTCTAATTTAAAAGCAGAACTCCTACATCTGACTGCTGTAAAGTTGTACTTTTGTATGTCTACTCTTGTATGTTTTCTTTCATATGGGGGCTTTCTAGATTTGTGGCAAATCAAACCTGCAAACCAATAGCAAGTTCCAACCCTTTCTTTAAAAGGAAAACCTTAGAGATGATGTTTCCCTCTTTTTTGTATGAAGGATACTATTCTTTTCCTTAGGATGTGGTAAATTTCTATAAACAAGAGCCTTGCCCAACAGGACTTGCCCACATTAGACATGAATGAGGAGCTTACGAGAGCACCTAGTGCTCTGCAGCAGACAGCGCAGAGCTCTTGCACCTTAGAACCCAGCACCATCGGAACCAGAAGCTGAATGAGACAGTGCCCACCTCCCAAGGCTTGACTCTCCCTCCCAGTTACCTCTATATACAGAGTGGTCTCCTGTAGCGGAACAGTCTCCTTGCTTTGACCACTTCTGTAAAATCCAAACCACTGCAAGAGAAGAGGAAAAAGATCAGGTCAGACCAGAGACACCCAGGATACACTGTTGAACTTATTTAAAACTGGCCTGTACCTCAGACTCCCAACAAAGTGAACATCACAAAATTATGTAGAGCAGGCAAAAATGGGAGCCTAGTATGATGGCACATATCTGTAATGCCAGGACATCTGTAATGCCTGGATTACATCGCAAGACCTTGCCTTTAAAAAAAAAAAATATGGGGCTGGGGATTTAGGTCAGCGGCATAAGCACCTGCCTTGCAAGCAGGCAGTCGTGAGTTCGATCCCTGGTACCGATTTAAAAAAAAAAAAAAAGTCTTTTTTTTTAAAAGGCTACGTCTTAGGTCACTTTGATTTCAAAGCCAATCCTACATGAGTATAATGGTGCATACCTGCAAGCCCAGCACTCAGGAGGCTGAAGCAACAGATTCTCTGTAAGTTCAAGGGCATCCTGGGCCACACAGTGAGTGGAAGGCAGCCTGAATCACTTACCAAGACCCCCATCTCAAAAACATTGAAAAACAAAATAAACGCCAATCCTGAAAGATAAGTTAAATCTTTCCCAAGAGCTGTTCATTTCTCCAAAACTTCTGCTGTCTTTATTGTATACCAACTCTGAAAATCCCTGTGCTGACCTCTAGCCATTTGAAAGTGAATATATGATGCTTTTTCCCAAGAAGTTCTAGCCCAGCAAGCCACAGAAAGAATTCACTGTTTACCATAGGGTCAGTAAACATTTTTTTCTGTTAAGGTCAGACACAAAATATCTTAGACTATAAGGGCCATATGGTTGCAACTACCACTGTAACTCAAAAGCAGCTACAGATGATATATAAAACATGAGTATGACAGCCAGGCATGGTGGTACACGCTTGTGACAGCACTCTGAGAGGCTGAGCAAGAAGGCCTTGGAGTTCAAGTACAGCCTGGAGAACTTAACAAGACCCTGTCACACCAAAAAATAAATAAATAGGGCTGGGAAAGTGGCTCTGTGCAAAGTCCTTGAGTTTAATCCTCATTACTGCAAAAATGAAAATATCTCCCCTGCTCTGAAAAAAGAAAAAAATGTGTATGATGTATTAAAACTTTGCTTATGAAAGTGGAAATCTGAGTTTCAGGTAACTTCATATTATAATGTATTTTTTGGATTTTTTTTCCAACCATTTAAATATGGAAAAATGCTTTGTTCCTAAACCATCCAAAAGTGGTCAGCTGTAACTGGACCACAGCCCACAGGTTGCCAGGCCCTGCTGGTCTGACAATGAGGATGGCTTTCATAGAAGCTGGTGATCCTATAAAAAAGGGAGCAAATTCTGTGAGGAATGGGATGTCATCTAGAAGAAGTAATATTTGTGTCTGACAGATAATTATCAATCTGTCAGAGAAACCAGCAACATGCAAGAAAAGACACATACCAAGGACAGGTGCTATACTATGGCTGGATCGAAGAGTGTATGAAGCGGTAGTGAGGGGAGCAGCAGTGGGAAGGACCACAGGGAAATGAAGCCAAATCAAGGCAGACCTAGAATGTCAAGCTAAGGGGTTTACAGACTCTTTGCTAGTGACTCTGAACTTTTTCAGGTCACAGAGAGCTCTGAAACAGGATTAAGATTATAGGCCCTACCCTGGGGGAATATAATCATATACTTTTTTTTTTTTTTTTTGGTCTTTTTCCTTTTTATTGGTACCGGGGATCGAACTCACGACTGCGACTGCCTACTTGCAAGGCAGGCGCTTATGCCGCTGAGCTAAATCCCCAGCCCCATAATCATATACTTTTACATATATATTTGGAATGGAACTGGGGGATTATAACCAACTGTGTTCCACTGATGGACCTCAGAACCCCTGTTCTGCACAAAGGCTGGTGCAGGGGCCTGACGGTTTTTGCACAGTAGGCAGCTATATAATGATTTCCTGTAGCCTTCTTATATGCTATGGCCTAGGAAGTCTCTCACCTCAGAGTCTACAGGGTCCACAATGCTATCATTGAGGAATTTCACCATCACAAACTTCTTCAGGGTCATCAGGTTCTTCTTGTAAGACTCATTGACGCTCTGGAAGAAAGGCGGGCACCACCTTGGCATTATTACCATCAGGTTCCAGCAGCGGGATCAGAGACTCTCAATGCTCTAGGCTCCTGGGCCTGGGCATCTATTCCAGCATCCTGACCAGAACATAACTCCAGAAGGTATGTTTTGGACCATCCTATCTGAGTGATATGCCACCAACCACGGTAAAAGGTGCCACCAGGAATGTGTCCATGCTCCACAAGTATCTACCATGTAGGTTAAAGATCTCTTGCCAAGGGAAAATAAATTGTAAATTCTGGGTGGTTGTGATATACTCTTTCATACTGTTTTCTGGTTTGGTTTAACTTTTTCTCCTTTAACTATTCTGTTCCAAAAACATCAAAAACCCCACCCTGATAATCCACCTACAAACTGAGCCATCCAGCTTACTATAGCCACTAAAACCATGCTAGTGTCTGCAATATCTCTTCTAAATAGTCTCTCTCCTTAAAAAACCCATCCCAATGGGCGCACCAGAAAGGCTCCCCTCAGGAGGCAGCCAGCACTCTGCAGACCTTGTCCCGCAGCTCCCACATTAGGAAAGGGAGACTTCTGAGAGAAAGCCCAAATGAACTCCAGCCTCCTTAAACAAGCTAAATCTCGTGAGTACTACCTCCCCCAAATTGAAATTTGTGGCTCCTGTCTTCTGCCCCAGGTCTGGATAAATGGCTGCTGCTAACTTGTTCTCAATGTCCTAACAGAAAAATGAATGCTTAACTGTGAGTGCCCGGTTGATGACTTACCCTTTCCTGATTGATATCTGCCAGGAAAATGCTGCGCTCGCGGTATACATCCTCTTTTATGGGATCATGCCAGTATTCTGCTTGTACCAGGCTGCAGGGAGAAAACGGGATAGAAGTAACCTCAGTGCCCGTCAGTCTGAACACTTGGGGTATGCAGCAGTGCACAGGCCACCCCAGGCTTCACCCTCACACAGGAAGAAGGCGGTACCTTCTTTCTCTGAGCACCCGTGTGTCCTGTATCCCTCTCCTTCTCCTGTCTCTTTACTGACATACCCTAAAAGTTCTTTTTCCAGCCTACAACCTTATTTTAAAAGAGTGGGACAGGTGCTTTATTTCAACCTTGGGGACTTCACAGACCCAACCCAGTGATATTTATCTTGGCAACCACAAAGGGACCCAAAAAAAGACATGAAGACTGCAGAGATCTCCACTTTGGTTTGGTAAATCCAGCCAAAAGGGATTTATTTAGTTCCTTTCTTTCTTGGCCATTTTCCCCCATCTCTTGGCCCTCTGAAGCATAGTTTTCCTTTGAAGCACAGTTTTTTCCCAACCCCTCTGGCTGCTGAAGCATAGTTTATCTATTTTCTCTTTCTCTCCCTGTGTACCCATGGGGTCTTTTTTTATTTCTTTCCCAGTAGTCACAGACTCCTAAGCCCCTAGAAAATGAGCGCTTGTATATAAAAGCACTGAAGACAAGAAGCACTTGCTCTTTCTAGCCAGAAACAGAACAAGGCGTGGGGAAGCAAAGTCCAGGTAAATGTGTGTGGGGGATGGGGGTTCCTTTAACTTAGCACCACACCTGCCCCAGCTTAAATGGGGCCCTTAATAATTTTGCTTATCCAATGAGACTCAAAATAAGGATGAAGCTCCCATTTAGGGTCTTGAACAAAATTTTTCATGCACCTGGCATGGGAAACCCAATGCTGAAGCACAGTACAGAGAACTGGGAACACCAGAGAAAGCCATCTCCAAAAACATAACACAGCTGTGGGGACCTACACATACTTAGTTTGAGGAAGTTTCTCTAAACTACTCTTTTGATCTTTCTCAAATAACACAGGGCATGAGCTTACTCCGCCTGATGCCATGGTTCCCCTTTTGGGTGCCAGGGGTCTGTCCTTAGCCATGCAGATTCAAGTGGTCAATTAGCTGTTTGCTATTGCTGTCCACGGGACTTGGTGAGGTCTATGGACTCAGACCAAGGAGCCTTGGTTTGCTTTTCTCTCCAAGAAAACAATAATCCCCTCCTTGTCCCTTCCTTCCCATTCAGGCTTTCATCCTCCTGCCTCAGGCTCCCAAGTGCTGGGATTGTAGGCAGAGGCAAAATGTTTTTATCCCAGCCCCGTTCTGTGGGTCACTTGACAATACTCCACATCCTGCATACAGCAGACTGTGCCACGTAGTGCTAAAGAGCTGAAGCTAGGCTGCCAGATCCTCTTCTGGCTGTGTCTCTGTGCAGTATAATCTTGGCAGGCTCCTTAATCACGCCCAGGAGACTGCCTCATTTACAATCATTTGGATGGACTCATATAGGATTAAACAGGTTTATATGGCTAAAGTCCTTAGAGCAGGCGTGGGAAATGAGAAGTGCTGTAGAGGAGCAGTGCTGTTCTCTCTCACCCACATGGCTTGGAGCAGGCTCAGGTGGTAAGGACTTGTCTCAGGGGCCGTGGCCTACGGTTAGACAGCTGTCTTGTACTACGTCAGTGTCGCACATCGCCAGGTGTGTGGACCCTGGTTGAGGCTCTGCGATTATCTTCTCTGCAGCTGTGTGGCTCAGGGAGCATTACTGAGCCTCTCCAAAGCTGCCCTCCAGGGGTCCATGAGCCGATGTGAGCCCAGGCTGTTTCCTCTCCCCCGCAGTGCCCACATCTGAGCATTTCCAGCCTCTGATCCTCCCTCAGTCCTTGGCTGGCCCGTGTGTAGTAGGCTCCTTACAAAACAAAATTCCCTCCCGCTTTCTTCCTCCCCTTTTTAGCTTTTTCTTCTTATGTAACAAGGTGGCTGAGGACAGCTATCTCCACTCTTTTCTTCTCACCTCCCAGGTCTCCCTAGTACAGTTCTGGGTCCTGGCCTACTATTCACTTCTTTACCTTGTTTGCTTGAGTGGCGATTGGCCACTTCTGAAAGGCGCATACAAGAAAACAAAACACCTACTGTACCCAAAGGCACCATAAATAAAACACCACAGACCAGCAGAAGGCAACATATCTAGCAAGGAGTCTTAACATTGAGTTTTGTTTAAAGCAGCATTACAGGGGTGTACAATGTCCACAGTTTTTTGTAAGGAGTTTTTCTTTCTCTTTGTTTTTGATACCAGGGATCAAACTCACAACCTTGCGTTTGCCAAGAGGCACTTATGCCACTGAGCTAACCCCCCATCCCTAAGAGAATTTCTTTTGAATTGTTTTTAATTTTATGAGCATTATGCTAACAATGTACACCAAACAAGGAAATAAAATATCAAGAAAATATTGAAGTTTTAACATTTAGTGCATGTGAAGACCAAACATCAACGTTTTCAACATCAACTGTTTACCTGCTTACAAGATCTAAAAAATAACAGCAGAAATAAATTCCTATGTGAACTATGACTGAAATACAAACAAAACTACTACGGAAATAACCTCTGCTTCAATGGCAGCCTTCACACAAGACAACAGCATGTTCCACACACAAGACTCACTCACACTGACCCACGTGCACTTAGCTTTCCTCTCCTGTTTGCAGGCCACACTTTTCACCTCTCTTATTATTTTTTTCAGGAGCTTTCTACTATAGCATAAGATGTGCACTTAGAAAAATGAAATAGTAAAGTATCCAATAGTTTTATATTTGATGTAGATCAACATTTTCTACAACTGTTTGCTTACTAAATCTAAAAAACAGTAACAGAGTTCAGGGCAATCCTCCCACCTCAGCTTCCTGAGCGCTGGGATTACAGATGTGGACTGCTATACCTAGCTCAAATGCATTTTAGGGGTGTGGGACAAGTCTCACTAATGTAGTTTAGGCAGGCCTCAGACTCAAGGTGATCCTCCTGTTTCAGTCTCCTGAGAGCTGGAATTACAGGAGTGCCACCATGCTCAGCTCAAATGCCATTTTTAAAAGGAAAAACAGTATAAAATGAAGTGGCCTAAATTTTAATCTGTGCACAGCTGCAGAGAACTCAGAATGCACTTCCCATGGAAACTATGTGCTGCTAAGTGGTGAGCATTAACCCAGCTCAAAGTCTAATTCAGGTATAAGGTCAAGCAACAGATTTCAAATCATTCCGCTTCTCTCCACCTCACTGCCTCTACCCTACTGACCAAACTGCAGCCATCTCTCACCTGGACCACTGCAAAAACACTGATGAGGCCATGCCACGTTTCTGTGAGGCCTCCAATAGCTTTCCATGCTGTTTGGAATAAAACCCCACTCCTTATCAGGTCTACAAATCCTCACAGTGTAGCTCTTGCTTTCTTACCCACCTCTCCGACCTATCACCGTCTTTGGCCCCCTGGCCTAGAATAAGCCAAACTTGTGCCAACCTCAGGGCCTCAGAGCCAGCTGCTGCTCTGAGTGATGCCTCCTTTCTCAGCTCTTCCTGTGCTCCTTTTACCTGTTCTTTGCATCCCAGATTAAAGGTCTCTTCAAACACCATCATGTCCACAGCAGGCTCTCCATTATGTCCCTGTGGCTGCCACTGGTTATTCCTGTCCTGGTACTAGAGATGCTCCAGTATGGCTGTTCACCCTTCTGCCCAGGAGCGTGCAACTGTCCTCCTCATGGGATCCCACAACAGAGCCTGACACATAGCAATGAACTCAATATTTGATGAAATTATTAACTACTTTACAAGTGCAACTAAATGAGAAAACAATACTAATAAAGGACGGAATGTTTTGAACATACCATCCCCAGTGATAACAACTGAACTGAGCACTACACTAAATGCTTTATACACAATTTGTTTAACCCACACAGACCCACAAGAAAGTATATTAATTACTACGTTGGAAAAAAACGAGAGTCAAAGATGCCCAGTGCCACACAGTTAAAAGGTGGCAGAACTGAGGCTCTCAAAAAGAACTCTACAAAGAGCACGGAAAGTCACCTTGCCATCTTTTTACATGTCTGAAAATGTAGCAGCTTTATTTTCCCCACACTTGATGGCTTCTTGGGGTTACATACACACAAGTGTAGGCTAGAAATTATCTCCCCTCAGATTTCAAAGGTCTGTACCATACCTTCTAGCTAATTTACCCAAGTTCACTACAGACATATTTATTTATTTATTTGGAACCAAGAATCGAACTCGGGACTTTGCACTTGCAACAGATACATTTTTAAAAACATATTTTACTAGAGATGGTGTGAATCCATGGAGGTAGAACCTGAAGATGTGCAGGGCCAAATATATAAGGTGGTTTTTTGCCCCCTCCAGTCTTTTTCTGCTTCTTTAATTGCCATCTTTTTTTCCAAGCTCCTTTTTACTTGTTGCTCATTTTAGTCTGTTCTCATGTTGGAAGCTTTCCTCAAATGTCTGACTGGGGGCCTGTGACCCAACATTTGCATTTAAACCAGGCACAATGCGGACTGGAGGCTCCTCACACAATAGCTGCACTTAGGGCAGAGCTTACATACTGGTGGCTCCAGTGTCAGGTAATCGGGAGGGGTCCAGACCGAGGATTCAAAACTCATCTCAGTCTTTCCTCCAGTCAGTTTTCCCACACCGGAGTCCACTGAGCTCAGCCTAGCCGGGAACAATCCCAGCTCTACCACTCTGGAGGCTGAGGAGGCGTTCAGGGGATGGGTTTTCAGTGCAGCAACTCACCACGCTTCCTTGTTTTCACTAAGTCTGGGCCTTCGCTAAGTAAGTTGTTCCAGAAAATCAGTTCTGCTTCTCCTGTCAGGTGGAGGGAAAGTAATCATCTGCATGTGGACACTGGTAACTGGGAGTCCAGTCAAAGCCCGGCTGTCAGCGCCACCACCTCCACCTTCCCAGGGGTCTTAACAGCTCTCGTGCCCGGGCCTTCCACAGCTGGAGAAGGTGAGTCTGCTTCCTTTCCTTCTTGCAGTGTTTCTTCTATTTTGCTAAAACAATTTTCATACTCTTTTCTCTTTCAAAAATATATAGACATCTTTTATCTCTTAACTCCTCTCCTGTACTTCACCCTGGAAGGTTTATACCTTTTTCATTCTTTTTCTACTACTTTATAAAAGTTTAAGGAAGAAGTAAACACCTCATCCACCACTTTTAGTCTATATTTAGGTGTCATTTCTCACCCCACTGGCTGCTCATTTATCATCATTAACGTAATTCTGGTTACCAGGGGTTGTGTTTTAGTCACAAAACAAATCCAGAGAAAGAGAAGACTGGGTTTTTCTGAGGTATGTGGGCAAGAATTCAAATAAAACAGAAGTGTAGAGTACTTTTCAAACTGAGCCAATAATGCAGATACAACTATAAAAAATACACCATTTGAATATCATTAACAGTTACTCCTAGAATCACTGTTAGCATGAACCTGAGGTGTTTTCACACAGAGATGGTCTCTTGGGGCTGGGGATTTAGCTCAGCGGCATAAGTACCTGCCTTGGAAGCAGGCAATCGTGGGTTTGAACCCCAGTACCGATAAAAAGGAAAAAGACAAAAAAAAAAAAAAAAAGACAGAGGTGGCCTCTCTCCTTGCAGGTAACATACACACCCGTGCTGAACAACTTTGGAGTAAGCTGCGGCATTCAGCGTTTTTCGGATGAAGTCACAGATGTGAGAGCTCTCTCCTGGGCATCGAGGGAATCCAAAAACACCTATGGTGGGAAAAGATAAATACCCAACCCTCAGTCAGACATCAAATGCCTGTTGGGTTCAAAACAATGTGACAAATAAAAACGGGTTCTTCCAAAAACACCAAAATCTAACAATGTAACCCGCTTCCTCCTGGTGCTCCCGCAGTCCACGGCTAGAAGTTCTGCCCTGCTCAATCAGGATTGTGCTGATTCTGCACTGCAGTACATGGCTGGCTGCACTTCCTCTCACAGGCCTTGGCTTACGGAAGTCGGAAGTCATAGCTGGTTAACGTATTTCAGCAGTCCCCACGCCCTTCTCTCCCCTTCCATCACTAAGGCTAAGGCACGAGAATCACTGTGAGTTCAAGGCTAGCCTGAACTACATAGCAAGACCCTGTTTCAAACAAACAACAATAACAACAAAAAAAAAACCAATGTGGTCACGTGGGTTGACACAGGGAAAGAAAAGGTACAGGGGTCAAAGTTACCTTGATGCTGTGCCCCAATTGTGATCAGATTGATCATGGGAGGTGACGGGCATCTCTGAATCACTGCTCTCCTGGAGAAATAAAATGGGTTTATCAATTGACTGTTAGATGGAAATGTATCTCCAAAGTCAGCTCCACAGATTAAATTCCATAATACATGGCAGTTCCCCAAAACCACAGTGGAAATTCTGGGATTTTCCTTTATATGATCAAACCCAAACTTCATTTTTTCATGGAAAATAAATTAAGCTCTATAAAGCTTCTTACACAGGGATATTTTAGAATCATTTCCTTTTTAAGACAGGGGAGGATCCCAAGAGTATGGAGTAGTGGTGGGGCACAGTGGCACATGCTTGAATTCTAACTACCTGGGAGGCTGAGAAAGGAGAACCATGAGTTTCAGACTGGCATGAGTGATTCAAAGGAGGGTGTGGCTCAGTGATACAAAGCTTGCATAGTATACATAAAGCCCTATGTTCAATTCCCAGTACCAAAAAAAACAAAACAGAGAGAGTAGTGGATTAATTCTGGTACTTACAGAAATTGGCCTCCCTGGGAGAATCCCATAGCGTTGTACCCTTGCTGCAATTTAGGATCATTAGCAAGAATCTGACACACTGTCTTTACTTGGGAATTAACATTCAAGAAGAAGCTGTTCTCCAGGTCCTAAAAAAGGAGCCACAGAGAAGTGAAAAATGGAATGGAAAGCAACCACTGTCATCTCCCCTAGCAGTAAGCTCACGCAGGCTGACACCCTCATGCGCTGGAAGGAAGGGAAGGTACCACTGACACATTTGCTGTGAGAAATCAAGTGGGAGCATCCTAACAGCACATTCTACGACACCAGCAAGTGAGCCTTCAAATGAACAGAGCTGCCAAGTGCTTACCTCTTTGATGTTCTTTCCAATCTCTAAAGATAAAACGTAAATTCCAGGTATTTTCCCCTCGACCATTTTTTTAACAGCACCCATGCTCATGGGATTACAACAGCTGTCTCCTAGCCAGCAAAGAAAACAACGAAAGAAACCCATTAAACAAAATAAAATTACTCTCTAATGTCCTGCAAAGGGCATTACCAAGAATGTGAAGAGACAACATAAAGAATGGGAGATTTCTGCAACACATGCATCTGAGTTTAACATCCAGAACACATCGAGTGTTCACCGAGGGGCAGGAGCTCCCACCTATAATCCAGCACTTAGGATACTGAGGCAGCAGGATCACAAAAGTTCAAGGACCACCTGAGCTACATAATGTGTTCAAGGCCCGCCTAAACTACAGTGAGAGACCCTGGCTCAAAATACAAAAAGAAAATATAAATAAAATTTGGATAAACTGTGAAAACATTATGTCAAGTGAAACAAGCCCCAAACAAAAAGTCATGTATTATGTGATACCTTTGGCAAGACATGTGTATCCAGAATAGGCAACTTCGTAGAGACAAAAAAGTAGGCTACAAGTTATCAGGAAGCGGTAGGAGGTGGAATGAAATAATGTATATGATTTTTTTCTGGCATACTGAGAAATTTTAAAATGTGACGGAGTGGTGGTTGCACAGCACTGTGAATATACTCAGTGCCACGAACTGCATACTCTTACATGAATTTAGTCTCAATTAAAAAAATAAAAACACTTTTTGCTCAGCTCCTGTTCATCAAGTAATAACAAACTTCAAAAGTTCCTAAGAAGCTGGGCCTGGTGACCTAAACTATAATCCCAACACTCTGGAGGCTGAAACAGGAGAATCACAAATTCAAACCCTGCCTGGGAAATTTAGCAAATCAGTGATATCTTATCTCAAAATAAAAAGGGCTGAGGGCTGGCTGTGGTGGTGTACACCTGTTATCCCAGTACTTGAGAGGCTGAAGCAGGAAGATCATTGTGAGTTCCAGGCCTGCCTGCATTACAAAGTGAGCTCAAGGCCAGCCTGAACTGCATGAGACCCTGTCACACACACACACACACACACACACACACACACACACACACACACACACAGGGCTGAGGATCACTATGAAGCCCCCAGGTTCAATCCCTAGTACTAACAAAAAAAGCTCAAAAGTTAAAACTCAGGCATCAATTTTTTGGAGGGGTTGCTGCTGAGACAGGGTCTTATTATGTATCCCAGGCAGACCTTGGACTATGTAGCCCCAGGCTAACTTTTAGCCTGCAATGACCCTCCTGCCTCCCAGTCTCCCCAGTGCTGGGCTTACAGGTGTGCATCTCCATGCAAGGTGGGGGGACCAAATTTACTATTCTATTATAGTATATGTGCTACTAAGTGAGCACTGGGGGCCAAATTTAAAAAATTTAAAAATAAGAAGTTGGGGCTGGGGATATAGTTCAGTGGTACAGTGCCTACCTTGCAAGCAAGTGGTCCTGAGTTAGATTCCCAGCACCAAAAAAAAAAAAAAAAGGAAGCACTGGTGCACACTCCCCTCCTTTACCTTAAGGGCCACTTGGGGAAAGAGACTCCAAGAATTCTCTTCAGAGCCAGAACTAGGGAAACAAAACACAGGTTTATGCAAGTGCTGCTATAGAATGGCACAGTTTGGGAGCAATTTCTTCTTTCTTCTGCATTTTATCCTACCTCACCCTAGTCCTAGATTTGTTCCTTTTCCTGTCGAGAAATCAGAGCTAAGAACCAGGAACAAACTGTCCACTGAGTGGGACAAGGCGCTGGGATCACTTCTCTTATTTTTGGGGGTTTTTGAGGCACGGTTTTACTATGTAGCCCAGGCTGGCTTGGAACTTGCAGCCATCTTCCTTCCTCCACTTCCTGAGAGCTGGGATTACAGGTGTGTGCCACAGTATGAGAGACAGAGCATTCACCTAGCATCCTCTGTCAACCTTGCTGTTTTAGCTCCCAGCCTGAAACAGTGTCTTGACAGAGTGGTCTGTATTTGTTGTCTCTAATTCCCACCTCAATGTTTTTCTTTAGCCCTTTTCAATATAGCTCTCATTCTTTTTTTTTTTTTTTTTTTTGAGACAGGGAGACAGGGTTTTGCTGTGTAGCACAGGCTGGCCTCAAACTCATGTGTGCTGGGATTACAGGCAAGTGCTCCCAGCACAGCTCCCACTCTCATCACGGCCCCAAAACTGCTTTCATTAAGATGTTTAGGGATCTTCACGTAGCTATGTACAATGATTGGTTCCCAATTCTGATCTCACATGACCTCTTTTTCTTTTTTCTTTTTCCTTTGATATACAGGGTATCAAGCCCAGGGCGTTGCACATGATAAGCCAGTACTCTACCTCTGACATACATTCCCATCCCTGCCTTCTTTTATTTTTGAGGCCAGTGTGATGATGTACACCTGTAATCCCAACATTCAGGAAGCTGAGGCAGAAGGATCACTGCAAATTTGAGGTCAGTCTGGGTTACATAGCAAGTTCAAGGCCAGCCTGCATGACACAGTGAGATCCTGTCTCAAAAAAAAAGAAAGAAAAAAAAAAATCAAACCAAAACAAAAATAAATAAATAAATAAATAAATAATTTAATTTCAAAACAAGATCTCATCAAATTGCCCAGGCTGGCCTGGAATTTATGGTTCTACTGCCAAAGCCTCTAACGTGGCTGTAATAATAGGTATATACCGCCAAGTCCAGCTCTTCTGAAACATTTTTTTTTCTCTACTTGGCTTCCCTGACACTGTAATCTCCTGATTTCCCTTCACCCCTCAGGGTCCTGTCACTGTCTCCTTTGCTAATTCCTCTCAATCTTCTTCACCTCTCAATGCTGAAAAGCCTCAGAGCTCAGTAGCCTGCCAATGTTCACTCCCCAGGAGGTCCTGTCAGTCTTTAAATGTTTAAATACTAGCCAGATGACCAAGGCTCCCAAACTTAAAACTCTAACCTGTACTCTCAGATGCCTCTATGACATCTCTCAGTCATGTAGCAAGGATCTTAAATTCAGTAAGTCCAAAAGCAGATGGGTCTATCGACCTCCACCCCAAGTTGGCCAAACCTAAGAGTCCCCCAGGTTGGTAAAATGACAACTTTATCCTTCCTTATAGTTCTCCAGTTTCAAACTTGTTGAGTCATCTCTGGTGTCTTACTCTCATGACATATGTAAATTCCACAGGTTCCACTTTCAAAATATTTCCAAACTTTTCCCAACAGCTCTTCTACTCCTATAAAGCTCCACGCCATTATCATTATCTCGTTTAAGTTACAATAACTTCCTTCACCTGTCTCCCTAAAACTGTCCCTCACTTTCCTACAGTCTATTCTGAATAGAACACTCTTAGTGGTCATTTAAAAATGTATGTCAGATCATGTCACTCATTTGCCCAAAAAGTTTCTATCTCATTCTAGCCCGTCTCTACATTAATCTTAGTGGGCTCAATATCTGCACCCAACCCTCCCTCACACCTAAACTTCTGTTCTCTTCCCCTTGCTCTATCAGTTCCAACCACACTGATTTGAATGCCATTTCCTAAACTTATAGTTTATACTTCTGCCTCAGGGCCTTTGTACTTGCTGTTCATTCTTTTTTTTTTTTTTTTCTTGAGACAGGGTCTCTCTATGCAGTTCAGATTGGTCTTGAGCTCACTTTGTAGCCTAGGCTGATCTCGAAATCGCAACGATCCTCCTCTCGCGTGCTGGGATTACAGGTGTGAGCCACCAAGCCGGGCACTACCTGCTGTTCTTTCTACTATGTATTTAAATGACATCTTTCCTATCTATTTCGGATTTTTGGCTTCGATGTCACTGTCTTAGCGAATACTTTCCTGATTTTCTGCCACACAAGTAGAAGCACTTTCTGTCTCCTTTCCTGTCTCCGCTTTCTCGCCACTGCAATTATCACCACTGCAATTATAGCCATTGCAATTATCGCCATACTTTCTTGGTCTGTCTCCCTTACTGGAAAATATGCTCTTAATAGTCAAAGAATTTCGTCTGTTTCGTTCACACCTCGTAGGTGCTCACTTCGCGATAAACAGATGTAGGTGCCTAACAAATCTCTGGTCAAGACACGAACGAGGAAAGGGAGAGATGAGCTGCGCAGCAGGCACACACCTGCCTGACTCCACTGCTGCAGCGTGAATCCCGAAGCCATGCTCAGCTCTCTGCCAACGGATAGCTGCTTCCCTTCTCCCAAAACACAGCAGCTCCCCAAATCCTAAGCCCAGGCCAGTCGGGTGCTGTGGAGGCACCTTGCTCGCCCTCCACACGCTCATTCTGCAGTCGCGAACCCAGCCCGGGAGAAAGTCGCCAGACCCTTTGCTTCTCTCCTCACGCACTCACCCATCCCATGCCAGATCACCAGCGGCAACGGTGCAGGCGGGTCGATATTCTCCAGTGCGCGAGCCTGGCAGGACCAGGGCAGGAGAGCTGCAGCCAAGAGCCACAGCAAGCCAGACGACGCCATCTTGGCTCAGTCACGTGACCGTGGGCGTGCGCTGCCTGAAGCCGCACTCGCGGGGGCGGGCCCGGGGCGGGGCCTGGGGCGGGGGCGGGGCCTGGGGCGGCCAGGTTCCCCCTCTTCTCGCTCTGTGGCTGCGTCGTGAGCGCCCACCAGTAGCCCCACGGCGACCACGCTCCGCTAGGTGGTGCTGGCTGGGGCTCCTGCGCTGCCTGGGTGAATCTAGCACAGCTCCTGCGTGGCAAGCGAAGGATCCTGAGTTAGATTCCTAATACCAAAAAAAAAAAAAAAAAAAAAAGATTGCTCGGGTTTGTTCAACATTTACTGCACACCAGGCACTATTCCAAGAGCTTTATATCCTTTCGCTGATTTACTCTTCATAACAAGGCTTCTTCTCACCATTTCACAGGTAAGGACCACTGAGGCCCTGAGACAGGTGCCAAAGTCACAGAAATAGCAAATTGGTGGGTCCAGAATTGTCACCCTTTGCCACTGCACTGTGCCGCCTTTGGAAGAATAGTGCTGTGTTACAGAAAAGAGGAAAAAAAAACTCTGCCTGTGTTAGAAATGAAAGGGGAGACATGATTTCCAGCCAAGTCAGTCAAGGCCAGGGATGGTATTTGTTCTGGACCTTAAAGGACAGATAGGATTTTAACAAGTGGAGATAAAATTCCGGAGGAGGACTGACTAACCGGTGAGAATATCTGTTGGCTGTGGAAGAGTAATGAGGAAATAAATCTATGCCCACTTCCTGGCCTGAGATCAGAGCTGAGAATTGCAACATGGCGCTTATCGAACACTCGCCCTTTTCTTTCATCCCATCTTTAAGCCGTGTTATGTTGTTTCATCATCCTACCTTCATCATCTCAGTCCATTGATCTTTTTTTTCTTCAGAAAAGTATCAGAAATAATTTAAGGAATCTGCTTAGTACATTAAGGAGAAAAAAGTAAATTGGGGTATATGCACTACACAGTGGAATAGTACAAGGCTGGCTTTTATTGTTTATAAAGGATGAGGTAAACAAGTACACGCACATGAAAGACTGTACACAATGTATTGTAAAGGAGAAACTGGTTGCACATTCACATGAATGAAGCCCTTAAAGCAGATTTTGTCAGAATTGGTACTTAGTTGGTCGTTGAAAAGTCAAAGTGCAAGTAAACTATTATACAGTGTCATTTTGTTTTAAGAAAATAAGCTTATTGTGCATATATTATAAACATTTTCTTCTTAACTGAAGACAAAGTGTCTTACACCAATCTTTTGCGGCAGCATTAGGTTTTTTCTATGATCATGGTGCCTCCAGTTGAAGCATTTCTTGAAATAATTTGTGTCTTGCCTTTAAGAAGTCACCTGCAATGTCTTTAAAGATTTCTTTGAAATTGAGCAACAACTTTATTCGAATCATCCAAATGGTCACTGATTTCTTATCTAGACCCACTGTAACAATTTTTTTCAGCAACTTGCCTTTAACAAGCTTTTCCAAAGCATTCAACCTAGTTTTCATGCAAGGAAGTCTTTAATCTTTATATTAACGTTGCATGTGTTCTAAAAAATTTAATTAAATTAGCCAGGCACGGTAATGTACTACCTTTGAATCCCAATACCTCAGAGGCTGAGACAGGAGGATTGCTGCGAGTTTGAAACCAGCCTAAGCTACAGAGGGAGTTCCTGAAGTACATAGAGAGAACCTATCTCAAAAACTGTTTAAATTAAATTGCAATAGAAAATATCACTGATATAAATAAATGGAAAAATCCAACCCAAATAGGGTAGGCAAATAGCTTTACTGGCAGGAGTACTGCTTGGCAGGGGTTGTCAAAAGTTTCCAAAGGAAAAAAAAAATAAGCCAGACGTGGTGGCTCGCTCCTGTAATCCCAGCACTCGGGAAGCTGAGGCAGGAGAATCATTGTGAGTTCAAAACCAGCCTAGGCTACAAAGTGAGTTCAAGGCCAGCCTGAACTGCAGAGAGACCCTGTTTCAAAAAAGACAAAAAAAAAAAAAATAGCAGTTCAGGAGATGGAGCCTAGTGCTTCTTGAGTACTCCCTAATACCCCTCCAAAAAAAAAAAAAGTTGCTCTCTCCATGTTTATCCTGACAGAGGGGGCATCAGTGTGTTAGAATTAAGAGAATAGGTTAAATAGATATTAAAGGCATAACAATCCATTTGTATGCATGCAGAGATGGTTGCACAACTCTATAAAATCACTAACACCAAGCCAGGTGTAGTGGAGCATACCTCTAATCCTAGCACTCAGGAGGCTGACGCAGGGAGATCATTGAGAGTTCGAGACCAGCCTGCGTTACAAAGTGAACTCAAAGCCACTGTGTACTGCATAGTGAGACCCTGTCTCAAAAGACAAAAAAAAAAAAATCACTAAAACCATTGGATTGTACACTAAAATGGATGAATTTCATGGTATATAAAATATGCCTCAATAAAGCATTTTTTTCTTTTTGAAAATATATATTCATGTATTTCTAGTGATTATTACTGAAAGGTCAAGCATTGACAAGAAAAGAAAAATATATAAAAAGACCTGGGGACTACTAAAAGTTATATTCTTCTGTTTTTTAGAAAAGTTTTTAATTTTTTATGTTTGTTTTTCTTTTGTCTTTTTGAGAAAGGGTTTGGCTATGCAGTTCAGGTTGGACTTAAACTCACTTTGTAGCCCAGGCTGACCTTAAACTCACAGCCATCTTCCTGCCTCAGCCTCCTGAGTGCTGGAATTACAGGGTATGCCACCAAGAATGGTTTATTTTTGGTTTTCTTTTTTTTGAGGCAGGGTCTTGCTATGTAGTCTAGGCTGTGCTTAAACTCACTGTGTAGCCTAGGCTGGCATCAAACTTGTGGTGATCCTCCTGCCTTAGTCTCCTAAGTGCTGGGATTATAGGTGTTTCCCACCAGGCTCAACAAAAGTTTTATTCCTTACACATTTTTTTTTTTTGGTCTTTTCGTTTTTATTGGTACCAGGGATCGAACTCACGACCGCCTGCTTGCAAGGCAGGCACTTACGCCGCTGAGCTAAACCCCCAGCCCCTAAAAGTTATATTCTTAAGGGTTATATTGTAAGAAAACTTCACTCTTTTTTTTTTTTTTTTGTCTTTTTTTCATTTTTATCGGTACCAGGGATCGAACTCACGACTGCCTGCTTGCAAGGCAGGCACTTATGCCGCTTGCAAGGCATGCGCTTATGCCGCTGAGCTAAATCCCCAGCCCCAAAAACTTCACTTTTTTATTTTATACTCTTCCATGTGATTTGATTTTTTAGAGTGAGGATGCATAATTTTTATAAACAGAAAATAATGAGGATGTAGACACATTAAAAATTATCATACAGGAGGATTTCGAACTTGAGTCCAGCCTGAGCAATTTAGGAAGTCCCTATCTTGAAATAAAAAATAAAAAGACTTGGGCTGGGGCTCAACACCAAAGTCCTGGGTTCCAGTCTTAGGTTTTCCATTTGGAGAGAAGAAAAATCTTGCTTGTAAACCTGCTACACCCATGAGAATGAAAATTGGTTCTGCTTAGGCATCTGAGGTAAGTTGGCACACTTCTCATAGGTGAACCATGATTGAACGCTCTTTAGGTGCAGAAGAGGATAATCTTTATCAGGCTTTCAGGTTAAAAAGGTGGAAGAAATGGAACCAAATTTTGTAGCTGAGTACTTGGTCATTCTTTGTGCATGTTCCATGAGTGCTTGGAAAATATATCCTTGTGTATGTGGTGGTTTGAGTTTCTACACACATCCATGCAGCTGTTTGTGTTTACCTGGGTCTCTTTCTATTGTCATTTGTCTCTTTTTTTGAGTTTTTGGGAAAGATGTTAGAAACTTCCTATTATGAAAGTGGATTTTTCTTGTAGTTCTATTAGATGTACGCTCTCTATGCTCATAAATCCAGTAATTCATCTGTAAGGTCCATATAGGCTGTGGAGCCCTGCATCTTGCTAAGGAATTATTTCTCCTTTGTCATTAAGCTTCCCTCAACTTGTTGTTTAGCATACTTTTTGGTAGTCAAGTCCTTAGTATTAACTTTTGGTTACTATTTGTCCAATGTCTATCTTTTCACTGTCTTTAAAATTAGTTTTGCCTAGGAAGTAAACATTACCAATACAGTGGAAGCCCTGTATATACCCTTCTCCTTCCTATTTTCCTAGTGATGGTTTTCTGAATTTAGTGTTTATTGTGCCTGTGAAAGTTTCCATACACTTAGTACCAATATGTGCTATGTTATATGCAACAATATGTAGCATTTCATATATTTTTAATTCATATTAGTGGAATACTACGGTACATGCTCTGAAACTCTTTTCGAGACAGAGTCTCGCTCTGTAGTCCAGGCTAGCCTTGAACTCAGTATGTAGCTAGGCTGGCCTTGAGCTTGTGGCTATCTGCCTCAGCCTCTCGAGTGCTGGGATTACAGAGATGCACCACCACAGCCGGCCTGCTCTGAAACTTTTTCATTCAACTTTATTTTGAAGAACTTACTTGCATTAGTACATTTTGTTCTACTTCACTGATATTAAAAAAGGAAGATGGAATAAAACTGCCTCATAGACTCACTCCACCAGTGTCTAAGAAGTTAAAAGGGGGCAGCAGCTTAGTATCTAGAACGTTAACGGTCAACAAAGGATTGACATTTTGGGGTTCATACATGCCAAACCTTCCCTCCTTTCATGTTCTATCAAATCTCAGGTCTACAAAATCCTGAGAACTGACACATTCGTATGCATATTTGATGTAAGAAAGTAGAAAGTTTATCAGTGTCCATATCTTCTTCTGACCTCTTTGGAAAAATAAAAATGATTACTGGGGGGAGGAAGGTGAACTGGAAAGTAGAGCATAAATATTTTTATGTCAAATTTTTATTTGTATTAGTGTTATTGGGTATTGCAATGACCAGCTGGTCCTTTCTTGGCTCTTACTGTCATATTCAAACAATTGGGCGGATCGGTGAAAGTGAACATTTAATGCTGAAGGCAAGAGATGAATAAGAAGAGTCCTGCAGAGTAAACATGAGCTGTGGAAAAGCCTTACATCAGCCACGAGCTTAAAAGCTGCCATCTTTTATCTCCCC